CTGTACTTGTCAAATTTAACTGAATCTTAAGCAACACCACAGCTTAACTCCAAAAAGTAAAACAAAATTAAACAGATTTGCTAAATATGCAATTTTATACTGTATTGCAGAATTTCATGAATTTAATTGCATTGAAATGACTATCAAACACAAGCAGAAGAACTTAAATATCCATTTAAGCAAGTTGAGTATTAAATTTTTGTGCAAAACTTAAATGGGGTACTTGTCAAAATTCTAAATTGCAAAACTTATACACATTTTCTGTTACCATCTAGTTATTATCTTTTATAAATCTTGATATGTGCTTGAAGTCATTGCATTCTGACAACATTAACTCCTTGAAAATGTGTAAACAGATTACTAAGAAAGATTATCTACATACTGAATGTAGAATTTATCTAGTTTAGGAAAATCAATAAACTGGAAAATGATATTGTACTATAATAAACAAGAATTTTACATCAAAAACCAAAGTTTAAAAGCAAAAATCAATTGTAGGTCATTGCTTAATAACTAGTCCTAAAAATTAGGAGAGAGAAATAAGTGGGTTGCTATGTATATATAAAATAAAAAAGTAATGACATGGTTTTCAAATTGAGCAGGTCGCTCTTTTTGGGGGTCATGAAATAGTTCCTACCTTATGTTTTTGGTAATTCTTTTAATTTGATAGTACTAAATTCAACTAAGACAAGTAAAGGGAGATAACTAGTCACGACCCATTTTAAAAGCGTTTCTCCTATATAGAAAAAACAAACCAAAAAAAAAAAAACAACAAAAAACAAATCAGGTGAAGTCAATACAAGAATAAATATTTAAAAACTCAATCTCTGGGTTATTAACACTTCAGAAAAAGTACTTTGCAATACCAATTATGTCCGTTGGGAGACTGTGACACACACACAAAAAAATCTCCACAATGGTCTAATTTTGTACAATACTCATCAGGGAAAAATTATTGGATTCTAGAAGGCATTAAATTTGTTTCAATCCAGAAGCAGCCAGCAGAGATTTGAAAATGCCTATGTTACATTCTTAACAGGTGAGCCTGATGTTCATTTCCAACTTTGAATCATTAAAAACATAAAAGGCTAGACTCCTTGTCTTGACTTAAAAAGTTCCAATAATGATCAAATGTGCTTGGAATAGAACACAAATTTTGCTAAATTCGTTTAGAGGTTTTCACCCAAACATCAACCAACTTCAATACCAAGAGACTCATCAAGAAGCTTAACCAGACATTCCCCTATCCATACTATTTAATGAAACATGTGAATATTAACAATTCATCACAAGAAGCCCCTTTTTAATCACTTGTATTGTTCAAAAAAAAAAAAAAAAAAAAAAAAAAGTGTAGTTACAACCCAATTTCCATTTTTTTTTAAGCGTTTGACCCCAAGCAAGGCAGGAAGCCACTAGCACGCAAGGGGTTACAGAGAGTTGGAGCTAGAGCAAATAGGAGTGATAGAGGAAAGGTTGAAGAGAAGGATAGGGGATAGATCAATGCATCTGGAGACGTTGATTGACATTACATTTGAATAGTTGCTTACCTTGCTTTAGCTATAACTTATACAATTTCTTATAGGAAAAGATTTCACAACTGGCTATAGAACTGGGGTGGGGTAAAGAAGACTTATTTAATACATTACAGTTAAAGTAAATTATACTAGAAAATGGGAGAGGAAAAAAAGTGAAAGGAAAGATATATATATACACACCACTGACAATGCAAATGAGAAAAAAAAAAAAAGTTGAATTATCAGCATCTATGTGTGTATACAAATTTCATACAAGAAAACTGATAAGATCCTGTATTTAAGCAGTTTTTTTTTTTTTTGTAATTTTTCTCCATATAAGTTCTTGGTTCTGGACAAAGTGTAAAAACTGTCTGACCATTTTGTATGTCTAAATTTTGTTTTTATCCATTATCGAGGATAATTTTAATTGTAACTGAATGTGTAGATTTTTATGTATGTATCTAGAGAACCAATATTTATGGATTCACAGGTCTGATTAAACCAAATTCATGAATAATTATAATCCTATCAAGAAGGCTCACATTACATCTGACTCTAGCTCAATTAGGACTCATCTAAACACATGGAAATCTACTGAACTCCATCTGCAGCATACTTGTAGACTAATAACCTCATCCACATGTAAGAGACTAAAAATAATTGGGTGGGGGGGGGATACAACATCCACACAAAGCCTTGATAATAGCTAAAGGAGAACTGAGAAGTGCTTGGAAATAGAAAGCACACACATACATACACATACTTATATGAACACAAGAAAAATTAAAAATGCAGTAGCTTGTCATTCATCTTTAATGAAACATTTATAAACCATGACTTTCACCTCAATTATATGTGTGTGTGTGTGTGTGTAAGTAAAAATATTACTTCCCAAAAATGGAAATGTACATATAAATAAATGCACAGGAGAGGGCAGTGAACCTTTTAAATAAGTCTCAGAAATCAGAGTTAGAATATTGGGGGGGGGGGGGGAGAGTTTTCAATAAATGTGACCGACATTCAAAGAAAGGTTTCAGTAAAAGTAACCTGAAATTTTATAAGTGAAAAGTGTATTAGGCATAGAAGGAATTATATTTTATTTAGTACATTGTTAAAGTCTTCAGCCATTTTAAACTACTGTAATTTTTTAATTCCCAGCCCACAAGTGAAACATTGCCTTTTGTAGCAGGGGCTCCTGTATGGGAGGAGGGATATGCATGACAACATTTAAAAAAAAAAAAAAAAAAAAAAAAAAAACCTCACTGCTACCTTTATGGAATCAATACTTTTTTGCATTCACTCCCAAAGCTCCAAGCTTACCTTTTCTGTAGGCCTTAAATTCTTGCTTATAAGAATGAAGTGTCAACCTAGCTTCATCACTGAACAATCTAAGCATGTGCACTCCCATGTTTTATGCATCTTTATCCAACTTTATCTTTCTTTCAGATATTCATCTCATTTGAAATTCTAGGGTTTAAGAGGAGCATTTCAGCTATGCTCTGGAAGGATAGATAAAATGGTAGTAAGTGAAAAATTGAATAAGCCAAACTCATCTATGTTCCAGACTTGTGCTGAATTTATTCTCAGCTGATCTACATTGTATCCAAATTTCAAGTTATTCCAGTGTTTTGAATTGACAAAACACTAGCTATCACGTAAAAGCCTCATCCTTTTTAGTGATGACTCCCCCAGATAAAAAAAAAAAAAAAACCTTCTGCACAACATTTTTTGCAACTTGCATAGTCCCTCATTCAGAACTCTAGCTACAAAAATGATAATTCAGCAGAGAAATGACTCCAATATTTTATCTATAGAAAAAGCTATGAAAGACATCCATTGATAAGCCAGCAATTAAACTATTGAACATTTCTAATAAAGTGGCGCAACTTGCATATTTATAGATATAGAAAGTATAACCCATTCATTCAGAGCATTTTTGTTTTGCTGTTGTCACCACTCCATCTCACAATTGCTGTTTATGGTAACATTCAAGGTAGAGTAGTGCAAGGGCTTGCTGTTTCATTTGCACCAAGGATGTTGAGGTTATCCCATCCCTCCTCTCAGAAGGGAAGAGGCAGGACCTACAAGGCAGTAGGTGGTTTCCCTTCTCCTAGACTGGCAATGTTATATGGAGGCCATGCACTGCCCAGACTACATGCACCCCTCCTTTTTGGTGTACCGACAAGATCAAAAAGGAAACAGAACATTACATTTGGCCCAGCTTGGTAGTGTTGACAGCCAACTGCTTTCTGTCAATTTACTTCCATAGCCTTTTCCTTGTTTTGGATATGATAGTGAAGCAGCAGAGGTTAAAAAGTTTTGTTTTTTAAGGAAAAAGAAAAAACTTCCTAGATGGACTATCTTCTGTAGAGCTCCATCTACCCAAAATAAATTTGTTAAGCTTTCCCCCCAAAAGGAAAAAGTGTGCTTAAATTCTTGTTTTTAGTTGATATTTGTAAATCAAATAAAACTACTTTGTATGAATTTTTCTAGGAAAAAAAAGAAAGAAAAAAAAAAAAAAAAAAAAAAATACCAAGTACATTATTTCATGAATTATCTCCCTTGAATTATAAGATTTTAAAGGGAAACTGATTACAGCTATTAGCTGAGCTTTGCATCAAAGCAGGCCAAGTGAGAGTTCAAGAGTCACAGGTTTCAAATTTGTACAAAACTTGATACAGTGAAATTGTTAAACTTGAGAAATAGCGGATAAGGATTTAATCAAATGTCAAAACATGTTGCTGAAAAACTGTCCAGAGTACATAATAGTTTGTAAAATGCATCTTATAAACACTGATAGACTTCAAGATGAGAGAGAGAGAGATTCTTTAAAAGGAGAAACATTCTTAACAGAAGAGTTAACAAATCAGTTAAAAAAAAAAAAAAAAAAAAAAAAAAAAAGAAATTTATTGAATTACTTTATTTTTATTTTTTATCTTTTTTAAATTTGTTACAAAACTGCAGTCAGGTCTGCTCCATGGCAATTTATTCAACAGTTGAGTTGTTCATTTATTTTTTGTATTGGTTTATGAGGTGTGAATGAAGAGAAAAAGAGTTGAAGTACATCACAAATTATAATTACATCACAGTTGCTGTGCTTGGCAGCATCAAGACTGGAACAGAATGAAGAAGATGACTGACATCTCTTGGTCAGATGAGCAGAGAAGGAAGAGCAGAGATGATGAAGAGACGAGTTTTGGTATACATATTTTTCTTTTGTGAATGGGTGAGTAAATTTATTATTAGGTGACTGAGAGGGACAGCCACAGAAATGGCTACCACTGCAGCAGCAATAGTATGTGTGTGTTTATACATCACATGCGCGCACACAAATATATACATTGTGTGTGTTCACCCAGCCAAGAGACTCCTTGATCACATGCAACACAGATGAAGAGAGAAGGAAAAAAAAAAAAAAAAAAAAAAAAAAAAAAAAAAAAAAACGGAATGATCACAACTACCGAGAGAATAAATTTATAATTCTACATGTTTTGGGTCTTCTTCCTCTTCCTCCTCCTCCCCTTCTTCCTCATCATGAGTGTCAGATTCCTGAAAAAGTAAAAGTAGGTAAATTTTCTTTAAACTGTTCTGTTTGGCAACATCTTAAAGAAGAGGAGAAAAAAAAAAAAAAAAAAAAAAAAAAAACAGCACACAACCCTCTGACATGAAAACATCACAAAAATGCAGGAAATCAAGCAAACAAAAAGAGCCGATATTCACGGGGGGGGGGGATAGTGTAATGCTAAACAGTTATGAAATATTAAAGTAAAAATTTCATCTATGATTTTCTGTGAACTACAATAATGTTGTCTAATACAAATGTAGCCAATTAGACTTTTCATTAATTTTAACTTTACTCTCCAAATTGGTCAACTGTTCCCAATCATTTTAGAACATTAAACAGATAGTTGACCTTTAACCAAAGCTAAATTCATAAAATATCCAGACAAAATGAAAAAAATAAAAATCTATATTCAGTAAGAGATTAAACAAAAGTCACTTATTTGCCATCTGGGTGGAGCTTTCTTAAACAAGCCTAACATAGATAAAAAAAAAAAAAAAAAAAAAAAAAGTTTAGTTTACACTTACCAAATCAGCACCTTCTTTGCCACCACTTTCCAAGAATTTAACAAAGCCATCTAATGTCCTTGCACCATTATAATCAATCACCTGCAAAGAAAAGGAAAAAAAAAAAAAAAAAAAAAAAAAATGATAAACCAGTTGTCTAATGCAAAAGGCAGATTTCACATTGTACATGTCAATACTGTAATTTGGTTTTAATGAGAGCAAAAAACTCATTTTAAAGAATCTAAGTTCCACTTGAAAGTGGAATCCTTTGCAATTTTTAGGAGCAGAAGAAAAACGGAACTAAAATATTCTATTTGAAAATCTTTGTATTCAAGGGAAACAATTTAAGTGACTGCCAGACTACAAGGAACTATTATGGATGGGCTTACAAATAAAGCAACTGTGTGTGACTTGTGTTCTCTGCAAGATGACATAACCATGATATGCACAAAAATAACATGCAAATATTAAAAAGGACAATAAATTACTTTTACACTGTTAAAATTTAGGTGACAAAAAGAGTCATAGTAAGCTCTATATTAGCCTATCCCCCACCCAAACTTTCTATTACTTAATTATAATACATATAATTAAGGCCAATGTGAATGGCTATTCTGAAGAAGCCTATGATATTAACACAGGCATCCACCAACTTTCTGCTTTTTTTTTTTTTATTATTATTAACGATCTGCCTAGCAAATATGCAGATGATACCAGTTTATAGAGGGGGGGCACAAATAATCAGACCCACATTTCAACATTTGAGACTAAAGTAGAACATATGACATTGCTAAAAGAGATTGGGAAAAGGGTCGTCTTATTTTACCACTCCAGAAAATTGGTGCCAGCCATGCTTTATAAGAGTCAGATTAGGCTGAAAATTGAGTATTGTTGCCATATCTGGGCTGGAGTTGCTCAATCCCCATTTTCTAGCCTCGAGTTCGAAACCATTTAAGTAATCCTATAGGAAATGATATTTCCCCACCCTAGAGACCATCCACACCACCCCCTTCCCCAATACAACACCATGGGCATGTCACTAACACTGCTATTCCCATGCCAAATGTTCGGATAAACTATACTTCAGTTTCACTAGTTCAGACTTTTATAGCTAATCCCCAAGAACCATTACTTTGTGGAACAGATCTCCATAAACACCAGAATCTTAAACCTTTTAAAGTCTGGGTTTTTGCAGTGGCATGTTGTACATAGAAAGGTGATTCTGCAAACACTTCTGGTGGGCAACCCAAAGGCCACACAATCCAGAAGGTCTCGTGTCCACATTCATAGCTTAGTGTCTCTGTTTGGGAACATCACCCACTGGCAATAGAACTCAGAGTCCCTGGACTGTTCTTGCATGCGAGATAAAATTTCTGATAGATATATATATATATATATATATATATATATATATATATAGAGAGAGAGAGAGTTTGGCAACTTCAATGCTCAGCATCTCTTATGGCTTAATCTTCAATGCCACCAATTTTGCTGGTATCCAGACCTTGAACTTCTATTACTCAATACTCTCACTCAAATAGAATCCACCCAACATATTTTCTGATGAACATGTTTCTCTATTTGATCTCTTTCTTACCTCCACCCTAGACTTAGGTTGTGCTTTGCAGTTCCGTACACTTGGCAACTCTAATCATATAATAGTGTCTCTAGATATCTCTTTACACTCTCTCCCCATCAGTCACCGACCCCCTATTAATAGAATATCTGTTATCAATGAACTGAATGAAATAGTTTTGTGATTTCCTTCCCCTTAGAATATTTTTAATCCCCCTGTTCATAAATGTGAACAAGGTCTCTTGTGTAAAAGGTGGCATCAATGATTTGAGGCAAGGTTTTACAAGTTCTGATGCTTTTCCCAATGCCCAACTCAGACACTCATGGTAATCCAAGTACACCAAGTGATTTTGTTTAGATACCATCTCTAAGTAGTTTGCTGTTCAAGGCTTGAGACTTCATTATATAAAATCAAATAAATAAATATAAATAAATTTACATGTAAGTGTTCACATCACAGTTGTTTGAGGTTTCCTATAGCCCCACTGAACTTAAATAAAGTCAATTCAGGTTTCCTATCATAAAAATTTTCTTTCCCCAAGTAAAAATCATCACAAAAATGGCAAAAGTCATTTAGGCACAGCTTATTTTCTCTCAAAAAATGGATTTTCATACTTTTATAGGGGTAAAATATTGAAAAATGACCGTTTTATCATCATCTAAACTAATAAAACTAAAATTAGCTGGTGTAAATGACTTAAAAATTTTTTTCAGTGGGTAAAATTTGATAATTTTGCATTTTTTTCTTGTTCTAAACAAATATTTCCCCCATTAATAGAAAATTAACCATTTCTTTTTTTTTTTTTTTTTTTGATAATCAGAAAGCTTAAACCATAATCAAACTATTTCAGGCATAAAATTGAGAGTTTTGAAGGAAATCAACATTCCTAGGTGAACAAAATGCAACAAAATCCATTGTTAATTTACAATTTATGACCGCCAAGGGTTAAAAAAAATTGACACCCAGCCACGGAAATCTTTAGTAAAAGGCAAGAGATTTATCTGCAATTCCTAACCACCAGAAACCAAAAGTTGTTTTTTTTTTGTTTTTTTTTCCCCAAAAAAATAGCGATAAGGAAAACTAAACCTAATTGACTTTGATGTCTAGGTCAAAGGTCAGCCAGCAATAAACGGCAAACCTTAGAACAAGTTGTAATAAAACCCACCACTCCCAGATAAAAGCAAAAAAAAAAAAAAAAAAAAAAAAAAAAAGGGGTTCACAATGACTAGGGCTTGATAACCTATGTTTGAACAATGGCTTGATGAGTTTTGTTTTTAACACCCAGTGACCCGGGTGATGACAACAACACTTAGACTTTTTTTTTTTTTTTTTTTTTTTTTCGCTGCATATCTTTCGTATTTCCCATCGTCGGTCCATTTAGCCGTTCTTTTTATTCAATGATGTTCATATCAAATGAAAGAGAAAGGAATGAATTTTCTCAGAAAATTGGGCATAATTTCTTAATGCTAACCGCCGAGTGACATTTCCCACAGCCAAATCGAAGATTAATTACCAGTGAATAATTCCATGTGCAAACAATAGCCGTCTGGATCCTATAAAGTCGCCCTAAAAGGTCCAGAAGTTTACTAATTGATCGAAAACCTGTTGCGCATAAATGTATTTTTCACGGTCAGTTTCCATTATTTCATCTTGATATTATTTTTGGACAGCCAAGTCATCAAGGATCCAGGAAAACACTTTGGCATAGGTTTTCTTTAACAACTTGACATTCTATGAGGTGTTTAAAATGTTACTGACGAATGAGATTTTTTTTGCCGAATATTTTGTTTACGCGCCATCTTGGATTTTCCTATATGACAAAAACAAGGGTTTTAAACAGCCGTGACATACAAATACATACTTTGGTGTAAGAAAAACAGTGCTCAATGCTAAATAACAACGCTATTAAGTATATATTAAGATTGCATTAGCATGAAACTAAGTCATACTGTTGGCGAAGGGTACTATGTATTTTTACTAATGTGTGCGCGTATATAATGTTATAACAACGCTACAAAAATAGCCATTTTGTCTCAACACTTCAGGTGTCTTGTCAAGTGATGGTGTTGCAAATAAAATAAAGAATTCAAAAACTAACCATTACACCCACTAGCTCAAAATTAATTATAAGTATATGATAATTTAAATAGCTCGACAACAGACCTTAGATATGAGTGAGGATGGGATGGGAAGGAAAGGATGGGAAGGAAAGGATGGGAAGGAAAGGATGGGAAGGAAAGGATGGGAAGGAAAGGATGGGAAGGAAAGGATGGGAAGGAAAGGATGGGAAGGAAAGGATGGGAAGGAAAGGATGGGAAGGAAAGGATGGGAAGGAAAGGATGGGAAGGAAAGGATGGGAAGGAAAGGATGGGAAGGAAAGGATGGGAAGGAAAGGATGGGAAGGAAAGGATGGGAAGGAAGGATGGGAAGGAAAGGATGGGAAGGAAAGGATGGGAAGGAAAGGATGGGAAGGAAAGGATGGGAAGGAAAGGATGGGAAGGAAAGGATGGGAAGGAAAGGATGGGAAGGAAAGGATGGGAAGGAAAGGATGGGAAGGAAAGGATGGGAAGGAAAGGATGGGAAGGAAAGGATGGGGGAAGGATGGGAAAAGGATGGGAAGGAAAGGATGGGAAGGAAAGGATGGGAAGGAAAGGATGGGAAGGAAAGGATGGGAAGGAAAGGATGGGAAGGAAAGGATGGGAAGGAAAGGATGGGAAGGAAAGGATGGGAAGGAAAGGATGGGAAGGAAAGGATGGGAAGGAAAGGATGGGAAGGAAAGGATGGGAAGGAAAGGATGGGAAGGAAAGGATGGGAAGGAAAGGATGGGAAGGAAAGGATGGGAAGGAAAGGATGGGAAGGAAAGGATGGAAGGAAAGGATGGGAAGGAAAGGATGGGAAGGAAAGGATGGGAAGGAAAGGATGGGAAGGAAAGGATGGGAAGGAAAGGATGGGAAGGAAAGGAAAGGATACACACAAATATAAAAGTGAACATAGAAGTTAACACTCAGAGGAGACAGGCTGTTTCATGCTAGATGCAATCATCAGGTGCCATGACAATTGCATATAGCATGAAACAGCCTGTCCCTTGAGTGTGTTGAATTCAGTGTTCACTTTATATTTACATATGGTCTATCTCTGATATTGAGCACTTTGTTCCAGCATGGAAATACCAGGTGAAACCATCAACTCCTTACTTTTCACCTGCCTGTTCAGTTGCTATAGCCCACAGGAATCACTTCCAGCTATACAATAAGTGACAGGTCTGAGTGTAACAGACGTTATTGTAATTGCTTTTAAGGAGTGCAAGCATGTCCTCAAAGTCACTATTTGCTGATAGAATGAGACAACATATAGCTTTTCACAAGTTCAGTTCTAGAGATTACTGGCAGCTCTGCAAGAGTATGCTGAACAATAGAAAATCCTCAGTCCCTCTATTCAATCAATTTGAAGTACTGACATCTAATGCAGATAAAGTAGAGTGCTTTGCTTGGAAGTTCTCTTCTAACTTCACTACTCACATGGAGTAACCCTGCCAGATTTTACTCTAGAACTGAGGATCTACTGAGTGAGAAACACAACCTGTCATTGGTCTCTAACATCATTTCTAATTAGATAAGACAAGCGGATGTGACAGAATCCTTGTCATTCTAAAGAAATGTGCTTCTGAGCTGGTTCCTGTTCTCGGCAAACTTTACAAGTGCTTTGCTGCTTTCTGCTTGTAGGAAATTCTCTGTAATTAATGACTAAGAACTGGCTAACCCACTGACCCTTCAAATTATCAGTTCATTGTCTCTAACCATTTTTTTTTTTTTAAGTGTACTCAAGGCCCTAAATCAGTGCATAATTGGTTAAGCATCTTACTTCACATGATTTCCTTTTAGACAAACAATATGAATTCAGTTTCACCACAACTGTTGACGTGTTAATGGTCATTACTGAATCTGTAAATCAAGCCTTAGATAAGAATGATGAAGCTCAGGGCGTGACTATATTTCAGAGGTATTTGACATGCTGTATTCTATGTAAGCTGAAGGGCTTAATCCAATCATTCCCAATGAATGTGTAATGAAGATCATATAGAATATATATGCTTCTAGATCATTTCATTCTAATGCTGGAGTCTGCCAGGGCTCTATCCTTGGATCTATGCTATTTATGATCTTCAATGATATCCCCAATATCAGTTCTGAACAATTTACTTGTCTTAGCAACAAATCTGACAGAATAAACATAGCAACTGTTCTTGAAAAGAACCTCTAGTCAGTGGTTAACTGGGGCAAGAAATGGCTTGAAAATTTTAATGCCTCCAAAAAATAAAACTACTTTCATTTAATCACCACAGAAAACCTTTTCTGCCTGACATCAGCCTGACTGATACTAAACTCTAGGAGAGCAATATCTTCTTGGCCTCATGTTTCCACTGATATGAAGTGAAGCAACTATATTGAATAAATTACTTCAGGTCATGTCATAATCCATCTTGCACATTTATAAATCTACCATTCATCTGTGCACTGAATACTGTCACCATACTTGGTCTGATCTTGCTGTACATCTTGTGATTCTTGACAAAATCACAAGGGTCTGTAATGCAATCAATCCTGACCAAGCATCTCGATTTCAGTCACTTTCTCACCAATGTGATTTGGCTTACCTCCATTTTTTTTTCTACAAATATTTTCATGACAACTGTTCTAATGAGTTTTTCTGCCTATGTTGCTCTGACGAAATAAATTTAAGTGTACTACTAGATTGGCAACTAGGTCTCAATTTTACTGTTGAACTAGTTAGATGCAACTTTTTCTTTTACTTCCAACCTGTGGAAGTCCCTTCAGATTTCTTGCTTCCCTGATAATTAGAACCTTCAAAAATTTAAATGCAACATCAATCACCATCTCCTGTCTTCTTGAACCCTGTTTCTATTTTTGTCCTTTCCTCAATCCTTCCCATTGTCAATCTTCTCATTCTTCTCCTTCCTGTAATGGCCTGTACTAGTGGCATTACCGCTTGCTTGGGGGGGAGGGGCAGAAAGAAAGAAATTCAGCGTAACACATACCTCATCACTACCTTTGGGGAAATATTTTAAAGTTGGGTAGCTATTAATTTTGATATCCTCCAAATCATTGGCTGTTGCATCCATTTTTGCAATCAAGATATCTGGATGATCCTTGTACTTCTCTCCCAACTCATCCCAAATAGGAGCCAATTGTTTGCAGTGTCCACACCAGGGAGCATCTAAAAAGAGAAACCATTGTAAAAATTATTTTCTACAACGTGGGAGCAGAGATAATAAATAAAAATTTATAAGACTGAAAATTACTTACAAAATTCAATAAAGACACTTTTGTCTTTATTCTTAGCAACTTCATTAAAGTTGGATCCCACAAGGATCTTGACGGGAGCAGCATCCCAATCCTTAGGCAGGTCAGCACTCATCATGTGTTGCTGTAATAAAAATTAACAGACATTAATTTCTAAATTAAGAGTTCACTGACATTGTAGAGTGTTTGAAGGGTATTGAATGACTCAATTACTATGCCAGATAGGGATTTTTTTTTTTTTTAATTAATGAAACTATTTAACTGACCGGTTTTTGTGCACATAATTGCAGACATTCAAATATGTTTAATAACTTCAAGTAAAGAATCTCAGTGGTTTTCTATAAAAGAAATTGCCCTAAATCATCAAATTGGAAGTTAAATCTAAAGCTTTATACTAAAATCCATCTTCAATTTAAAAAAAATCTATTTACAAAGAACAAATATTTTAAAACTCGAGTTGTGATCGGGAAGTGGGGGGGGGGTCAATGCCACCATCATTTGAGGATAAAAAAAAAAAATTATGGGATGTTAACAGTCCTGACCTTGAGTTTACCATCCAAAAAGTCTTGAACAAATTTCTTAATTGAAGCAGCGCTCAAGTCTGTTGTTGCTGGCTTGAATTTGGACATTTCATCATCTAAACGAATGAGACGGATGGATGGGCATTCTTCTTCTTTCAAACCAAAGAATTCTAAGATTCTCATATTGTCTTCATCTTCAATGTCAATGTTGATAAATAAAACCTGAAAGGAGAATTTCATAATCTTTGAACACAAGGGAAGAAAAAAAAAAAAAAAAAAAAAAAAAAAAAAACAAAACAAAACAAAACAAAAACAAAACATACAAGTAAATCCAAGTAGGAAGTGTTCCTGTTTTTAAAAAGGAAGGCAATCACATGATTTGAGTGGTTGCATTTTTTGGTATAATAGCCTAACAGCAGTTAAAAGTTGGTTAGGAAGACAGATTTCTTATGACAATATTTGAAGTTAATTTTAAAAACAGAATCCATGTATTCATAGTAACTTAACTATTTTTCATGGTCCAGTGGTTGAGTGATCCCAAAAGTGACTTGACCCAAAGAGTTTCAAGTTCAATACCTGGCCACAACAGAGGGAACAAAAACTTGGAGTCAAATTTCTAAATGGAATCAACTGAAACAAGGATAGTCAAAAATCATGGCACATGAATTAGAACAATCTATTCCCATGAATTAAAAGGGGTTTTGTTAGAAATTCCAATGTATATCACATAAAGACAGGAGTGTACAGCAGCAAAACAAATATGGCAATAAAGAGGAGGACAACAATGTAAATTCAGTAAATAGTTACAATACCTCATATTAGAAATATAGAAAGATGTATTTTTGTTGATTGGGCAACTAAAGAATCAATGAACACCATGTTTATCTTGCACTAGTGCTTAAAAAGGGCTTCAAATTTACAATTTCCCACACTTGATCAAAGACCAAAAATTCTAAAATATTACTATATAAGAAATCATGTAAAACCAGAAAAAGACTAGCACTCATTTCAATGAACTTGTGATGTGTTCTGACAATACATCACATTTGGAACAATCAGAACTCAATCTATAAAATATGATTCAAGACCAGGACAAGGTTCCTGTTTTTCAAAGCATCCAATAAGAATTGATATGAAAGAAAGTTACACAAATTGGTAATTAACTTAAGACTTGTTTTTGCCATTAGAACTGGCAATAAATGTTTTCAATTAAAATGAAAATGCTACTTGTAGTAGGAAGATTTATAAAATTAAAGTCATATTAGAATAATTATATTTTAATTTGTAAAGCATGAAAATAAGAGGTTCTGAGAAATAGCAGGTTTCAGATGCCACAAAAAAAGTGACAGGCATTTTAAAAGTTTGTTTTTAAAGACAAGATTTACTCTACAAGTATTTATCTTAAACAATTTAAATTAAGATAAAATCTAAATTTAATTACTTTGTTTATACTAGCAATATCTACACATTGTTCGTTTCTGAAAACACTGATATCAGTTTTAATTCTTAACATTATTCCTTTCTGAAAAGGATTAATTTTATTTGGCATTTTTAAAATAAGCCTATAATATAAAAACACTTGTTCTATAACCAACCATATCAAGATGGTGTTTGCCAGCCTAGGACAGGACCTAAATATATTTGCCATTAATGAAGAGGTATAAGATGGTTTTGTTTAACAGCATATCAACACCTTATGGGTCATTTAATGTCAAAACTTAATTTTCTTGGGAGCTTTGAAGTAATGAAAATGTTATTCTGCTTTTACCATTGAATACATGGCAAATGACACTCAACTTTTGTACATATACATGTTTGTGTTGACGACTAGGTGATGATATGTGTGTTTTATGCTGTAGTTTTGAAGTTATAATTTGGAATAAAGTGAGTAAAAAAAAAAAAAAAAAAAAAATGAATAAATAAAAACTGTATGATATATAGATCGAGGTCTTGAAAGGACTTTCATGTTGGTCAATTTTGTTCAGCAGCATATCAACCTCTAAGGGTTAATGCCAAAATCTAAATATTTTTAACAATTTTATGGCTTCAAATACAGATAAAAAGTATTGTTGGTTATATATATATATATATATATATATAAAAGCTGGTATTTTTATACTTTCATAGTGTCTAGGGTAGAAGGTTGACTGTTTGGCCAGAGCCCTAACAGGTGCTACCACTCCATAAGATGAAGCTTAGGTGTTATTCAGTAGATTACACTGTATTATAAGTGGAGAGTAAAAAGATAGAAATTAGAATTTAAATTTAACAAAATAGAGTTTACATGACAGATTAAAATAGGGAGGCAGGTGTATGATTAGTTAATTCTGACTCACCTGACCAAGAGTCTCCTAGTAAAAGGCCTAGATACTTGATCCCCACTCTTTGCTTGAAAAGCACAGCCAGCAGCATTTAGACATGCCAACAAGAAATGAAAATTAAACTAGACACCTTAAATTTCCCAACAGCTTCCCCAAAGTCACCCTTGCCATGTGCCCTGAAAAATTCAGCAACAACTACAAATAAAAAGCCGATCATTTTTGGTCAAATAATCTAGTCAATCATGTAGAAAATGTGACAAAGCATATTTTTAAAAGAGAACCCTCAATTTCATTCTTAGTAAAAAAACAAAAACAACAAACAACACCATGTACAACATGGTCCTCAATTTCAGATTAAAATTTAAATATATTTTAGAAGTCTTTTTTTAAAAACAAACCATACATTGATATTAGCCAGATGAGTGGGTGGTAGGATAAATTTAGGCAGCTATTTTTTTTTTTTTTTTTTTTAATTATTATTGTCAAATATAAAAATTAAGAGTTTAAAAAAAAAAAAAAACTCCATTTAGTCAAAAAAACATTACGCAGTGAGCCATTCAAACTATTTTTGCAGTCAGAAGCAAAAATTAAAATCTTACCTTTCCTTTGAATTCAGCAGCAACAGACTTGTAAGCCTCAGTTAAACTATCAGTGATTTCAGATTTCTTCACAAACAGCAAAATATGGTTCTTGATGTCCCCTCCAAATATTTTTTGAGCTGACTGAAAGACAAATCAACATTGTTAGTTTGTGTGTTGAACAAAAACTAATTATCTGATCAGAATGCTAGAGATAGGGAAAAGAAAAAAAACATGTTATGAGTTACAATTTTGGAAAGATTACATGTAATTCCTGCAAATTTTTACTGTAATCATTTACAATAAAAACCTGCCTTAGAAGGAACTAACATCCTTCATAAGATCCTCATAAAGCCATGGACAGATGATAGATGTATGTCAGATACATCTAATTAAGTTTGTCAAAATTAGTTTATCTAAGTGTTCAAATTTTAATGATTAATTTCCATGTCAGAGTTAGGTGTATTGAAAGTGTTTCTAAGCTTTCAATCAAGAATTAAGTGAAACATCAGTTCAGTAACAGTTTACATTGGACTTTTTGGATAAAAAGCCTACAAGAGTTGTATATAGGTTTGTGTTATTTTCATAAAATCTTAAATCGTGTAAGTGAATTTATAAACAGTAGTCTTATAAATAGGTTTGGATTTTAATAAGGTTTTAACACTAAACATTATTTTCAGGGGATAGTTGTAATTCAGTAGACACTCTTATAAATATTTTATGCATGTATAAAAGTGTTGATTTTTTTGTAAATACAGATGTCTTTACATGCATGATATAATTAATGTGTATATGTATGTATATACACTACCAATCAAAATTTTAGGACCACCCTGAATTGATTCTAAGTTTATAAAAAAAAAAAAAAAAAAAAAAAAATATTTCATAAAATTCCTTCTGACTGCCACATTATTGGACAAAATTGTTTCACAAGAAAATGATCCAAAACAGTGCAAAACTGTACAAATTATCTAAAATCAAAAGGAAATTTTGAAAATCATATTTCTTTAAAGATATGAAACTGGATTCATTTAAGTTTGGGTTGGGAAGAGAGAAAAAAAAAATTAACGTTGTCCCAAATTTTTGTCAGTAGTGCGTGTTTGTAAATTTTATGTCTCTTTAAATTTACCAACTACCAGAGACTGCCAATGCATCATTGCAACACTATCCATGTTAAATGCTATTTTGTCATTTGTTTCAATTCAGGTCAAACTTTAAATCAGCTAATATTCCTCAAAGTTTCAGAAAAATATTGTTTAATTTTTTTAATGTGGACAATTTTATATATTTTACTGATAAGTAAAAGAAAAATGATTCCCATCAATTCAATTTCAGTTTGAAATATAGCAAAGTATTTTGCCCATTGGAAATTACATTTAATCTATTAGCTTTGAATTAAAGCCAAAATAAAAGCTTCAAGACAGACTTAAAATAAACTTTAAACCTTAAGGTATCGTTTGAGATTTTTAAATATTAAAATGCAACTCACATCCTGATTGAAGTCAATAACAAGAGGCAGTTTATTGGAGACGACAAATTTCTCCACAGCATCAGTACTTATGGCACCTTCAAATTTGTTTTTACCTTCATCAAACTGGAGGAGAGAAGAAAAATATACCATGTTAAAATTGAGCAGTTTTGATAAAGGTTTACGTTTAAATAAGAAAGAAAAAACATTTTTCTTTACACATTTGAAGCAAAAATTTAATTTTATCAAGGTAACACCTTGGATCATTAACAGTTTGGTATCAAGAAAAGTTTACCTTTTTGTAAAGTAGAATTCCATCTTTTTCAAGACCATGTTCTTTAAAGACATCTGCATTACTGGTTATAGCAAAAGGAATATCATCAATCTTTGAGGCAACTTTTGTGAAGGCTTGTGCATCAGCAGATTCAGGATCCTGCAAAGAAATACAACCACTTGACTGTTACACAAAAGTGTCAATGGCTAATCAGATTTTATGTCAAATAGCAATGTCAAGACAATGACTACAAATATTTGGATATTTGCTGCTTATTTTTCAGACTATGTTCAAAAATTTTCAAAGTTTAACAGGTTCTGAAGAGAAAAATTCTTACAAGATGCCTATAGAAATTTATCACAGCTGACAATATTTCCCTAAATTAAGGTTAGGGAGTACTTAAAATCTAAAAAGGCTGTTATACTCTTTTTTTTTTTCTTTTTAAGATAAATCTACCATAGCAAAACATTAACCTCCCATTTGTCATTACTACTGCTGTGTAAAAAAAAAAAAAAATAATTTCAAAACTAAAACTACTTTGAGTCTGTTTAAATTAGTTTTGAAATAGAGCAAAATATTTTGCTTAGTGGAAATAAGTAATCTATTAGCTTGAAATCAAAACTAAAGTTTCAAGCAAGATTTTGCATTTTTAAATATTCATTTTAAAAATTAGGTATTGTGAATCTGTAGGAGGTACCTAGCTTAGACAGAAGTTAATAAAAATTTCCTCATTGCCAAAAAGGAATGTTTTTTCTTTTATTATATAGATAAAATGCCCAGATTGTTATGTTAAGAGAAATATCAAGATTGGTTGTTTTAATAAAATAACAATCTAAGAATTTCTTCCAATCGTAAAGGGAGGTAATACCTACAATTTCCTCCACATTATTAATGTGAAGTTGCTAATCAGTAAGTTATGTGCCATGCATAAAACACTTAGGCAATCATGTATCTTTCGATACATCCATCCAAGGCTATAGGATCTGGTCTGTCCTGCTATTTATTCATAGTAGAGGGAGGATTCATACCTTTCCTAAGGGTATTAGCACGTAAGTGAATGTAATAGATTTGACGAATTTGAACTTAGCTCAAATCCCTCAATCCGAGCCACTTATCCATTACTCCATCGTGCCTTGCTAATAGTGAAGTTGTACTGAGTGCTATGCTCAAGTATTAACTTGAGCTGAGGGGGGGGGGGAGACATTCAGCATCCATATTGGCAAATAACCCAAGCCCTGTGTGTGATACAGGAAACAACATTGTTACATTATCTTTGACATTCAGAGTCAAAGGAGACAAAAGATAGAGTAAAATGAGACAAGAAAATGAAAAAAATATTCACAACATATACACGAAGAGAGTAGAAAAAAAAAAAAAAAAAAAAAAAAACAACAACAACAACAACTATAAATTAATTTTTAACTTTATATAAAAGTAACAAAAATGCTGATACCTCCTTATGTGTGGACAGAACAATTACAAAGGTTTGCCTATGAAATTATGGAGTCAAGGTACTGAATATAGCATCAATCAACTAAGTGACAAGTATCATTAATCCTCATATACCGGGTGTATAGGCAAAATTGTCCATTTGTTAGATTAAGCTTTGATGAAATTGATCAAACAAAAATTACATGCTCATCATTAATCAACCATAGCTAAGGTTGGAAGCTCATGAAGGATTGAAGTATATATATATATATATATATATATAGGATCATTTTCTTATTCAAGATGATCTTTGCCCTCTAACCTATCTTTCCAATTTTGTTTTCAAGTCTTTTTTCACTGTTCTTTCATAGGTGAAACTCACCTCTCCATACATGTTATGGGTTAAGTTGGATCTTTTCTAATTGATCTCTTTATATCTAAGTTGAAATGATGATCCCTCTTCCTGATCCAGTTTTCATCTAAATGTTCCCTCTTTTTTAAACTTCACCATTCTCTTGATGGTTTTTGAATGGACTTTGAAGATAGAAGCCATTGGTCAGTTGGGAAGACAGTGTGGCTGACATAAAATGATTTTAACCTGTTTTCTTTCTAGCTGAAAGACTCAAAAGGGGTTTTCAGTAATTCTTATGGCAAATGGTATCAAATGTTTTATCTAAAACCTGGGAAAAAAAAAAAAAAAAAAAAAAAAAACTCAGCTTATTTTTTTCTTTTAAAAAGATATTAAACATTGTGGTATGGACAATTATGCTGTTACACCTGGTATATCTCTCACAAAAATGCTTTATATGGCAAGAACCTATACATTTCCAATCATCTATCTACAAATGATAGATTACTATGTTTATACTACCTAACAGGTCCTAAAATACAGTGAAATACAAAGACAGCTGCATTTGCTTTTTTACCTGGAAGAATCCAATGACAACAACTTCTTCCTTATCAATAAGAGCTTTAGCATCTGAAACAGAAGCCAAAGTTGTGGCAGGAGGGCCAGTTTTCTTTTTTAGCCAGTTGATAATCTCAGGAGAAGTACGGCCAGCTTAAAAAAATAAATTAAAAAGTAGTTTATATTTATATCAACATTACCAGACTGGAATTGAGTAAAAAGATTGGATTACTTTCACTAATTCAATAGAGAAGCAAAAATTCACTGTGAAACTAAGATTCCTCACATCTTGAATCAAGATATAATTTTCAGTTACAGAAATGTGGATAATCACAATTAAAACTCAGAAATTCAGTTCAAATGTAGGTCAGAATAAAAATTACACTACATAAAAAAAAGGCATATTATAAGTTTCAATTTTCAAATCACTCCCACAAAAATACAGAAATGTGTAAACTCTTTGGAAGAAGGGAAAAAAAAAAAAAAAAAGAAGTATTACCTGAATAATCACTTGAAGCAATTCCTTCCTTGAAGAATTTGATGGTTGGGTATCCTCGTACTTCAAATCTTTCAGCTAAATCTGTTTCAGCGGTTGCATCAACTTTAGCCAAGAAGACATTTTCATCTCCCTTAAATTCTGAAGCTGCCTTTTCATATTCTGGTGCAAGTGCTTTACAGTGACCACACCAAGGGGCATCTGGAACAGTTAAGTCATTTCATTAAACACTTATCGGATTCAAGAAAAAAAAAAAAAAAAAAAAATCTATCCAACAGGACGAATTATTTGTCATTTCTTTCATCAATTTCAGTTTTTGCCTGTCTTTGAGATGGGAAACTAAGTACTGCATCAGAATCAAATATTTTTTTTATTGTTCAAATTTTAGAGTATGTTGCTTTAAAAGCATTTTGCAGCAAAAGACAAGTATCGATTCATTAGTTTGCATTTTTGTCACAACTAAACAGTTTTTGATGCAAGTAAAAATTCTTCGATAATGCAATCTTATACAGCAAAAATTTTCTGACTCATAGAACAAAAACGCAAATACTGTATGAAATCAAAACAATTCTTTAATTAGTAAGGTTTGAAAAAAAAAAAAAAAAAAATTTGTCAAAGCTTCATGAAGCCATCAAATAGACGAGCTTTGTTTGATTTCCATGTCTATCTTTTTTAATAAGAGAAAAAAAAAAACTTTCAAATTTGAAAAGGTCAACAGTAGTCTTTTTTGTAGATACATGGAATTTTTTTCATACTTTGGAAAAAAAATAAAATTGACAATTTAAAGTAAACTGAAGAATCTTAAATACAGATAGAACTATGCTGTCAATATCAACGTTTATCGATTATTGACATTTATATTTTAGTGTCATGTTTTCTACAATTTGTCTTGTTTTTACTTTTTACGGACGACCTTTAAATTGCTTTCAGATGTCAGGAAAGCACTTCATCGAGAACTTCATGAAAAAGAGTTAAAGAATTTGTCTCATGATCAGACCTAGTAATAATTATTACTTAACGAGTTTCTAGTGTTTGACTTTATTTAAAAGTAATTGGTAGATATACTAACTACCGCTCCCAATAGACGTCTTCATCAATACGAAGCTGCCTTAAAGAAAAAAATTCTTTACATGTCACAAAAATTATTATTTAGGATTTTTCCACTTAACATTTCATTTAAATTTCTTTAAATAACCACGTTCAATGAATTCAAGTTCTTTAAGTTTTATTTTCGAAATTTAATGTCAAAGTACAGAGAGAGACTAATTTTATCTGATCAATCAATTTCAATATTATGCACACGTGTTCAATTTCACTGATTGAATAAGGTTGCCGTGGCATTTTTTTTAAAGTGGAAAGAATAGGTAAAAGATAAAATCCGATTAACGGATAATGTCATGCCAAGCCAACGGTAACCTGACAGGTGGTTGACACATGAGGGTCTCCCATGAACAGAGCCACAATCAAATGAAGACGTGGCAGGAACTTCGGTAGGGATAAGACGGAGATGGGGTGGGTCATTCAGCAAGAACCCCGGTTTTTAAGAGAAAAGAAAACACCCTCGAGCCTAAAGAGAACAGCAGTGAAATATGGATAGCATTAACAAGTATAAAACGTCTACCACTAAAATAATTCAGAGTTACGTTTGATTTTTTTTTTAAAAGTGATTATTACACACACACACAAAAAAATAAAATAAAGGTCATCTCAATCAAAAACACTAACAAATTTCTATAAGGATTTGGTTGGGTGAAGAAGACCAAGTGAAATGTCCTAAAAATATTAATTATATATTTTATTCATTTCACAAAGTGACAACAAAATGCTTTTTTTGTTGTTTGTTTTTAAATGATGAGACTTTTCTCTCTCGTTGACCCAGAAAAATAACAAGTCAAGATAGAGTTGCAACTAAAAATAAAATACCTTAAAGAGACTAAATTCAAGTTTGTACGGAGAAGAGCACCTTTTTCACCCTGTTTTATATTGAAAAAAAAAAGCAATAATAAATTGATGCAGGCAGCTAGGTTTTAAAATGATAAATGCACGTCTTTGAGCTAAAAATTATGATGCATGAAGATAGTGATTTTTTTCCATTGTAATTACTGATGAAAATATGGAAAAAAAATAAATTGCATATCCCCAAGTAGGCCAACTTTTCCTGACATCAGCAAATTGTTAAACCCGCACGTAGGCACCAATGGAAATGGGAGGAGTCCAAAGTCTTTAAAGAAGTCAGCAGCACTTTGTTTAAATTACCATTTTCCTTTCTTTTTTACCTGGACTCATACACACTGACATTCCTTTCAAGTTTTTAAATTCGTCCTTTGAAGAATAAAGATAAAGAAAAAAAATCATAAAACAGTTATCTTCTCTTCGAAAAATAAAAGTAAATTTTTGGGATGTTTTTTGTGCATTTAGAAGAATTGTGTCGTGGAGAGATTTTTATTACAAGAAAAAAAAAAAAAAAAAAAATCTTATGATTTAGTAAGAATTTTTTTTATGTGCCTAATGAAGTGCATTCTATCAACTAAGCAAAAAGGTAAAGATGGACTGGTGTTATATCGACCTGGTAACAGCAAAAATCAGAAATTGCCGATCGAATAGATTTTTATCGGCAGAAATTTGGTGTATATCAACAGATCATACAGACACACGAAGATTTAATTTAAAAGAAAATTAAATCTTAAAAAAGAGATTGCTTTCCTTGGTGAGAGATAAGATCGGTTTACCTTTCTCCCCTTCTTAATACGAGTCTTTGTTGGTTAAAGTAAAGAATAGACTTTAAGTATGCAATAATCTTAAGTTACATCAAGTGTATTTTTTTTTCTTTTAAATTACGACGGCATAAAAAAATAGTTTTTCTACGTTAGTTAAAAGAAGCTTACAAGATTTAGCCAAGATGTTAAAAAGTCAAATATATATTTTTTTTAAATACTGTACGATTCAGTTGAGGTTTATATTTTTTGATCATAAAAAATCGTATATAGCAAAAATAGCCATTGAAGTCCAGTAGAAGTTAAAGATCTTTACGCTTCTCATGTAATAAATTGAATATTAAGGAGATTATTTTTAGAGATGAATAAAGCTTGAAAAAATACAGATGACGGCAATGAAGTCATCATCGACGAAAAATGCGAATTTAGTTTTTACAATTTTTTTTTTTTTTGGTGGTGGGGAAGCAACCCGAATGAAAAATGTCAGTTTCCGTCTTGTTGGTCAGGTGTTTGTTACAAAAACATATGTTGCCTGCCGACAGGAAAGGCAACAAGAAATCTTTACATTTACAATCAAATAAGAAGAACTTTAATGAACTTCAGTCGATAGATAACACGTGTTAAAAAGAAAAAAGAAAAAAAGGTGTCGATAAAATCAATAGTAATCATCATCTACCATTATTTAAGAAGAGATTCTTAATTGACGAGTACGAAATACAAATAACAGCAGAAGCGAGACATGCAAAAGAAATTTAAATCATACAAGAGTTGAATTTAGAACTTTATTACAGGGTTTGAGAAAAGTGACAGAATAGAACATATTTTCTAATAAAGCTTATATAAAGTAGCGTGGGTGTGGTAGAGACAGTGCGACCAACTTAATTTGCCATTTAAAGTCAGTGACGGACATTGTTACGAAGTTAAATTCCAAAAATTAAACCAGCATTTGATTTAGGTAAATTTAAGTATTTTAGCTTTAAAAACGATCACAAATGACTACGTTTAAATACGTGGAAGAATAAGGGAAAAATAAGATACGAATAAGTGAGTAAAAGAAATTATAACGAAACAACGAAAAAGGAGGAGAGGGGGAAAATGACGAAGACAACTTACAGAATTCAACCAGTAAATATTTAGTCTTGTTCAAAGCCAAATCAAATGTTTCCTTCGTTAATACGAGCACGCCGTTTTCGTCTTTAAAATCATGTTCATGAGCACAAACGAGGAATAAAAATCCAACAAGTAGTAGTAAGTTAAGCTTCATGTCTATTTTTCCTAAGGAGTTTTTTTTTCGTAACTACTATAACCTACGAAGAGTTTTCTGAGTGGGGAAGAAAAACAGAAGAGAGGAAAGAAAGGAGACGTGCGTATAAGTCAGATGCCGGTTGAAACAACTCAACGTGGCACAATGAAGGAAGCGCTACTGCGCATGCGGTTAAATATGTCAGCGTTTAGCGTGTTGAAATGTTATTGGCCGATTTCATCTGACATCACTTCCGTTTTATAACACAAATATTGTTAGCATCAAGCCGTGTTGTTTATACGATTTATTTGGGTATGAAAGCTTTTGCAAGCACAGAAATACATTATACTATATTCGTACACTTGCAAAATGTTGTCTTACATCGATTACTTCGTTGGGGTTCGTGCTACAAAATTTAAAGCCCAGATTCTCAAGGCATTAAACGCCAGCCCTGGCCAGAAGCAGTCAGCTAGGCTACCTAAAAATAAAAAGTGATGATACCCACAGTCGCAGCTTATAGACAATTATTAAAACATTATTTTGATTCCTTATTGTCACAATATTTTTAATGTGAAATTATATATATTTAAACATATATTATTAAATATAACAGACAATGATGAATGTCTATGTCTGATCATGAGCCGTTCTAAGGTTCGAATATGTATGATCTGTGTGTGTGTGTATAAATTTTAAATATTTGTCTAGAGATGAAGTATTGTAATTATTTTTACATTGTTCGGACTGTTGTCCTCATCTTTATTGTCATGCTCACAATGAACATGACAGTAAAGTTGAGGACAATAGTCTGAACAATGTAAATAATGTGTATAAATTTTATATTTAAAATTATTAAAATATCTTATGTTCATCTTAAGATTTCTGATTACCCAAGCCGGTAGATACCAGTTATACAGATGTATCTATATAAAGTTTTTATATATATATATATATATATATATATATATATATATATACACACACACACACATATATATATAATTTATTGTATTTAATACTAAAAAATATTTTACTTCATTCTTAGCATAGCAATGACAGTAATTATACTTAATACTCATTTTTTCATTTGAAAAACTATTTAAATTTTTTTTTCTAATATGAACCTGGAATTAATGAGTTTATAAAAGATTCTAAGATTTCTGCATTATCTGGATTATTTAATTAGCCATAGCATTAATAAATCAATTAATCAACTAATGAATATAATTAATCAATCAAATTCAAATCCAATGAAGAAGTCAACATTGTATGGGTGCTTAAAGTCAGAAGAGAGGAAAAAAAATTGCCTGGGCTTTCCATAGCTGTAAATTATATTGTCAATGTCTTGTTTATGTGTTAGGGAAAGTAGTATGTGTTGACATACAGGAATCTTTGATTCCCAGAACTGGAATCATTTTTAATAATAATGAAAAAAAAAAGAAAAAGAAATATATGCTTAGAAAAGGACAGATAGCAAATCAGGCAACATGTAACCATCATATAAAAAATGAGACAATTCTAAATGATTTATAGTAATCTGAAGCGCCAAAAAATTATAGATACTCGCTTCAGTGCCTCACTTGCCAGATTGAAACCCCATTGAGTATATATGGTATATGCTGCAAATTTCACTAAATTCTTTGCATCTTCACCCAGCACACAATTCAGTGATGGACATCCTTGAAACATTCTTGGATAAGCACTGACCAAATCCAGTGCCTTATAGATTTGTAGTGAATAAAGCAAAATCTAGATTTAAAATTCAAATGCTAAGCACTGACTCACTGTTTTTGTTAGAAATTAAAAAGACTTGAATTTACAGATTTTGCTTAACACACACGCAAAAGCAAATCCAAAACAAAATTTGTGAAATTTCACACCTTGATGCGAAATGTTTTTCGGCCTATAGAAAACTAGGAAACAGTTAAAAACAAAATTCAAATAATCTTCAATTCTCAGAAACAAATTCTTTTATGAACCTTTTCGCGAGTCAATGTGAAGTTTGTTCATCGTCCAATGAAAAGGCTTGAATCATATCTGGGAGTGAATTCCCAAATAACCTTTTTAAGCCCCACAATCAAAATAAAATACGGGCAAGTTTGCTTGTCACCAGAGAGAAGGAGACAAGTGTATTAACATGTCCCTTGACAAACATCAAGCGATTATTAATAATATCTCTACTTTTCTCCATCACCCCTTTTATACTGGATAAACAAACAGAACATTTTAAGACTGAGAGATTACTTCAAAGACATTCCTACCCTATGATAATGCTCATACATGCATGTATCAACCAAAATACATTAATTTTATTTGTGGAGACCTAAATTGATTTATATCTATATAAATTTGTTGTTTCACTTCACAATTTGATTTTCTTGTTTTATACCCCTCTTATGGTGGGCTATCTAACTAACAAGGCCAAATCAAACTAATCTGTTTCAACACTCATACACTTCACTATAACTGATAGCCCACTATAGATTCAATGCCATGTCGCATAGCTGCTGTTATTTAAGTGAAAAGAAGAGCCAAATTCTATTTGGTAACTGTCTCTAAATTTGGGAGATTTCACTTTATAATGACAATGATTCATTTCAGAATTTTAGACAACATACTGAATTGGTTTACTGCCCTTTTCTCTACTGCCCACTTTAACACCATGGAATTTCTAACAGACATCAACAAATTTGAAGATGTTAATATTATACAGCAAATGATCTAAAATTCTTTAATGATTTCAGATTTGTGAAAAAAAAAACAGAACTAATATAAAAGAGATACAAGTATTTTAAAAACAATGAAAAATAATTTTTTTACATCTTTTTAGAATATTCAAAATTTTGGTTAAAAATCTTGTTTCTCCAGTGTCAACATTGTGCCGTAAAATAGTATGGGGAAATTTAGCATCTTTTTGTGTTGCAAAACACACTGATTTGGAAATTCTCACAAAAATCAGATAATTGTTGGATTTTGATGAAACATTCAGGACTTATTCACAAATGAATTAAATTATTTTCAAAATATTTCATTTTTAGAAAATCATGGTAAAAAAAATTTTTTTTTTCACATTTGTTACCCCAATATTTGATTTTATGAAATTTTGAAATATTCATTTTTGTAGCACTTAATGTTTACATTAATTATAAGGACAAGTCCTAGGAGAATTTAAATCATCAAATTTCTTTGGTTAAACAGAACCCCCAATTACAGAAAATCTACTCTGAATCAAAAGTAAAAAAATGTATTTAAAACTAAGACATTATTTAATTAGAAAAGCTTTTAATTGCTTTTATGGATAAAATATATTATAGACACTATTGTCCTAAGAAAACTTTTTTCAATGAATTTTTACATGAACTTTTATTTTTTTTAAATTTTAATTACAATGATTTATAAACTTTTAAAATTCTGTATTAACTTGTAGCAGTCAAGTCATATTATTATTAAATAAAAACTATATTTACTAATAATAAATGGAAAAGCTTACAGCAATTCAGAGACCCTTGGTATTTAAAAACATTTTTGTGTGTATAAACATACTAATTTTTATAAATATGGATGTCCATACACAACATTATCAGAAAATAACAGCAGTAACTATAGTAAATTTAAAATTTATTGGTAATTTTTTAACATTTCCTCAGTAAGCATCTTCATAAGTAAGACTATAAAGCCAAAGTACCAAAAATTCAATAAAATATTAGAATGCTTAAAATATTTAAAATCTTTACGATTACTACTGTGTAGATAAAAAATGATCCAAAAAAGATGTTTATATTGTATTCGTCATGTATTTTAATTACAATTATATAAATCTCACAAACATTAGCTTATTGATAGATGTTGCAACACCTCATAACCTCACCTTCATGTTAAAAAATGCTTTATGCAATAAAAGTAAGTAATATTTGTTTTAATTCAAATTAATTCAACTTTAAATCAGTTAATCTTCCTCAAATAAAGTTTCAGAAAAGTATATTTTATTTTTTAAAGATTTTTTAATAAAGAGAATTATGCTGTTTTGATGGATTTTGTAATTGAGCTATGGTCAGAGAGATGTAACATGAGTCTTCTTGTTAGGTATGTTGTAGTATATCCAATATAATTATTTATGAATTTGGTTTGATCAGGAACACATTTTCTTAAGGGACATGTGAATTCATAAATAATATTGTTTCTCTGTAATTTAGATCTTGCAAGTGAGTTATTGTTATTGACAGTGAGGTTAGCAATCTTAAATTTTTATAATAGATAATTAATTTAATTTTCTTGTTTTTCTCGACTGGAGTTGTATATTTCTTCATAATGTTTCTAAAGGAGGATTCATCTTGTTTATAGTCACCATGCATTTGACTTTTATAGAAAATGTTATTGTTTTTATCTGCATGTTTAATGTTGTTATTGATTACATTAGAAAGAAAAATATCTAATATGGTGATCTATGAGGTAATTCAGAAAAGCATTATTGACTAGCATTGGTTTCACATTAATTCCTTAAAGGAAAGCAGATGAGAGGTTGAATTCTTGTGTGCTCTCATGAGGAAATTTTTTATAATGCCTATTTCATATTTAAATGGACATTGACTAGTAAAATTAAGGTGGCAAGAGTTTCTACTTGTGGTTTTTTTTTTGTATAAGTAGTGAATGTATTATTACTAGACTTCACAAGAACAGCCAAGAATGGGAGTTAATTTTTTTGACTAAGTTCATAGGTCAGTTAAGCACAGAATTTTTTCAAATGTAGTTTTGAGATTATCAATCTCATTTTTATTTTCAGCTAAAATAAAAAATATCATCTACATAGCGAACAGATATTTTGGGTTTAGTAACTTTTTAAATACCTTGTTTATTACATGGGACATGTAGTAGTTAGATTAGCATGGACTGAGTTGATTTTTCATACTAACACCATTAGTTTGAGTGTAAATATTGCCATTATGGTCATAGAAGGGGACAACAGTTATGGAGGCATTCAATAAATTTTGAGTATATTAGGTTTGATTAATGGAGATAGCATT